CACACATATGAGCTCGACGATGTCGCCAAACCAGAATGAGAACGACGGACCGAGTATCTGGCGCTCGGAGACGTCCGTGTCGTCCAACGCGTTTTGCCTGAGCTTGTGTGCCGTCGTGGCGAGTCGAGACGACCAACGAGCTCGATGCCCAAACGCAGCGCAGGTTGCAACCGCGGCTGTCTCGTGCAACGTGGACATGGCCCTCAAGAGCTCAAGTTTCAACTGGTCCATGGAGCATAGTTTGCGGCTCTTTGGCTGGGTAGATGCGTCACCAACATCTCCATAGTCTCCATAGTCCATCGTTGCGACACACTTTTGGTACACTCTGTTGGACGCAATCGGAGACGTGGTGGACCATAAGGGCTAGGGTTGTACCCCTAGTCGCCCTTTCGTCTGCCACAGCAAAGCACACGCTCCATTACCAGAATATACATCAAGCGCAAACGGTGGTGTGCAGCTAGGCCTTCTCGGGTACAAGTGGCTGCCGCCCGTCCTGCGCCAGCAGCGTCGCCACCTACACAAGCCATCTTATCGTTCTGTATCGCAGCAAGAGATGGCCCTACATGCTCGGCAAGGCGTTTCTGGCGCCGCTGGAGATGCTGCTGATCGTTCTTCTCTTCGTCCGCCTAGTTTTTACTGTGACTGCATTGAACATGAGAGATAGAGGTGCGTACGACGGCACTGTCTTTGGTTGGAAGGTCGTCCCGGCGTGCGCCAAGGACAATGATGGGGTTGCCGCTTCCTATCAACATGATCATCGTTGCATCGGTCATTATAAAATGCAATCGGTTTACCCAGAGAGCACAGGGCCGCAATATGAGCGCTCGACGACCATGTCACGTCGCAGAGCGGGTCGCCGTAAAAGATGCCGCCCCACATCGAGCTTGGAATGCGCCGTCCGTTCAAGCTCGAGTAGAGGTACCTGTGCATAGCATCTGACTACAAATGTGTATGGCTGTTTGATGTCGTACACTGCACCGTCTTCCGAGCCGCTCGCAACAAAGCGGCCGTCGGGGCTAAACGCGCTCTTGACCATTGCCGACGTGACCTACAGCCACTAAGCAAACGCCACCGAGCAATATTCGCACCGTCAGGCCGCTGTACCCTTTGTTCAGAACCAAGTACGAGCGCAACTCGAACTGCAGCAGCGTATTCGGCTGCGCTTGCACGAGGAGCTGGCTGCGCTTGGGATGCAGCTGAAAGCTCGTGATGCATTTGCCCATCAAATCGTGGTGCTTGAGCGTCTTGACGAGCTCAAACGATGCGCCTCTACTCTCGCTTTACGATACGATTCGAGAAGCGACAAGCGGAACGTACTTGGGTTGCCACACACAAATGATACCCGCAGCGTCCCCGGAGAAGAGGCGTTGGGACTTTGGCTCGAAACGTATCGCATTGACGCGACTGGTGTGGGCCGGGTGCAGGTTGGCGATCGGCCGCCCTTGCCTACCGCCGTTTGAATATCGCAAACCACCTCTGCGCTTCAAACCCGAGGTCCCAGAGACGAACAAACCCATCGAGCGCCCCCGTTGCGCCAAGGCTGTCTGAGCACCACTCGACGCAGTAGACAAAGTTGGGCAGTGGGTGGTAAAACGAGTGGAGCAGTGCAGGCCTACCATATTCCATGCAATGTCCTCGCATCAAAAGCTCAAAGGCTACATACGGAGACACCTGCCAGTGCTTGGCACTACCGTCGGACGACGCGCTGAGAAGATGCTCGTCGTCCAGTGACCACGTAATGGCATAGACCAATGCTTGGTGGCCGAGTAGCACCGCCTCCTGAACGCCCGTGTCGATGTGATAGAGCCGAATCGGGTACTCGCCGTGCCGGTCGCAGCAGGCGGCGGCGAGGTGGGAGCCGGCATGCGAGAACGCGACCGATTGGCAGCCGCCGTCGCCGCTGTGGAGTCGGTGCAAGATGCGTTCCGGCACTAGACAAAACTCGCTCGGGTACCGCTTGCAGTGCACGCTGGGGAATGCCATGAGGTGCTCCTACACGACCAAAACGCGTCTTGTGAAACGCTGGTACAAGAGAATACGAACGGCGCTCATGGAGAACGAGTCGCGCACGCTCGCGATGGGTAAATGCCCGCTCGACTTTGCTTGGAGCACGTGCTTCTTGTCGAGTTCCTGCAGCGGCACGTCGTCTTCGCGCTCACCGACTTCTTGCTCATGGGCAAACATGGCGCGGTGCTCCACTACGACGCTGTAGCACATCGTACTCCAGCCGCAAGTCGCTGGTACCTTGCGTCCATGGTGGCTCTGGCTGCATGCCAAAGGAGACGTGGAGCGTGCACGGGTACGACTGCCGCCGATAGCGTAGATACTGAAAGTACACGGGTGGTTGGGGCGGCGCATTCGCGTCCGGTCGCATGCGCTTGGTCTGCGTGTCGATGAGCCACGACGTTGGCTGGTACTCGTACAGCTGAATGCGATGGGTCGTCGTCTCGTCGGACGCGAGAGGAATGTTGTAGCTGCCGAGTGGACTCTGCGGTCGGCAAAAGCCCCACGCGACCGTGTAATAGCTCGCATTGCCCTAGATAACGCCAAGTTCCAAGCTAACAAAGTGTGTAGGAAGCTAGGTACCGGGAGCAGACTCGTTTGCGGCGTAAAGTCGACCACCTCAAACAGCAGAAGCGTCTCGGGCCGGAGATAATGCGAGTAGGCGTCGTTGACGAGCAGGAGTTCGTTCCACGTTGGGTTGTCTAGCGCGGGGTGGATGCCATCGTAGGGGCAGCCGAACTCTACCTTGGCCGTTGGGTGACAAGGGGCACGGCTGCGTCGCGATCGGCAAGATGTAGTCGCACATCGTATGCTTCTTGAGCGCGCCCTGGAGCATCGTCACGGGCTCTAGCGCATGGACACCTGGTCGTTGACGGTCGAACTTCATGAGGTAGCAGCCCGTCGAGACGTCGACGAGATGGACAAGCACGATCGGGTGCACCACCATCGGGTCGTTCCGAAGCGCGTCGGTGCCAAGAATGCGTATCTGCGGGATGTACGTATGGAGAAGAAGACCGTCGCGAGGCTTGGGCAGGTGCTGCGGCCGGGGGCGCAGACCCAGCGCGGCAAGGTGCAGGACCCGAGACCGCTCGAGGAGCTGCAGCCCCTTCGCGACCAGCTGCATGCTCGCGCAGGAACCGCCATGCGTCGACCAGCCACAGCATACTCCCTGCATCGACCTCACGCAGCAGAGCCCATGCGTCGACCAAGATCGTCCGCCATGCTTCCGCGGGTCCGCGGTCGTCTGCTCGAGGAGCCCCATCGTATCCGCGGGCTCGGCCATTTGCGCGAAACTGCAAGACGGAGGTCCGGATAATATTTATGTGTTTCCGGATTACGGAAACCAGGTGCGATGGCCGAGGAGAGCAGCAGCCGCAAGCGGAGGGCGGTCGCGCTGCTTCGCGAGGTGCGCCCATGGCCCATGGCACCCATGGCAGCATCTCATGGAGCGTAGGTCGAGTCGGTTGACCCCGAGCAGTATGCGACGCTGAAGCAGCTCAAGGCCATTGTTGAGACTTCAAATGTGCAACGTGCAAAACGTGTAGAAGGTAGAAGGGCTCCGTGTGTGGGTGAACCCGTCAATTGTAAAGTGAGAGGTTGGTTCAGAGCCACACGTGCCATCATAGCCCAAAGGTGGCGGCTCGCCTGAGCCACCAGTGTGGAAGCCACACGCCACTGCATGCTGCCTTCCGGATGTGCCACTGCACGGCCACTCTCTGGCCACTAGAATGATCCTCGAAGAGTCTTCACCCTAGTAATCACGTGACCCTGTTCACGTGACTACAAACACACCTGTTTGTATGACTCCTTCACCTCTGCGACAGATGCTGGTCACGTGACCAACGCACCGTATCGTCATGAGCTGTGTGTCCATGAGGGTCGGCCTCATGGAGTGCTTTCCCTCTAGGATATCCTCTCTAAGGATAGGTACAATATTGACTCGATAGCTCACTCAAGCTAACGTGTCCATCTCTCTAAGATATATTGTACACTCGTTCCACTGAACTATGTCTACTGCATAACTGCACTCCAACACTCCCACAAAGCACATCCATGTGGTCGAGTTGCTTGGACATTCGCCATGCAGCGACTATCGCATTAGGTCAACTTCCTAACGCCCATCTTTTCCCGCAGGGAACAGAACTGCTTCAATGGAAGCGCCTTTGTCAGCATATCGGCAATCATCTCGCTTGTTGGAACGTATTCCAACTTGATCTTGTTGCTCTCCACAAGGTCACGAGTGAACAAAGTTCGAATGTCGATGTGCTTCGTTGCTTTGTGATTTCCAGGGTTCTTTACCGCTGCAATAGCCGCTTTGCTATCGCACCACACGGTAATCGGACTCTTCCTCTCCATCCCAAGCTCACTCAGAAGGGCGGAGACCCATTCACATTCCTTACAGCCTTCACTGAGTGCAACCAACTCTGCTTCTGCAGTGGAGATCGACACACAGTTTTGCTTGTTGCTCGCCCAAGAGACACAAATACCTGCCATCCGGATTAGATATCCAGTGACGGATTTACGATCGTTGATTTGACTCGCGAAAGAAGCGTCAGTCCAGACATCATACATGACGTTGCTACTCTCAGCTGTCAAGTACAGTCCATAGTCAGACGTTCCTTTCAAGTATCGCACGATTCTCAATGCCGCTTGCCAGTGTGTTTCGTTGTAACACGACAGGTATTTGCCCAGTTCACGAACTGCGTTGGCAATGTCCGGTCGCGTCCCTCGTACAAGGTACTGCAGGGAACCCACTAAGCCACGATAGTCAAATGGCTGCGCATCGATCTGCGCCTTGCTCATCTGACTCTCCTTCTGTAGTTCTTGACCCACCACTTGGGGGCTGGACGCAGGCTTGCAGTCCATCAAGTCGTACTTCTTAAGGATGTCGTTGATGTATTTGCTTTGCGAGATCGTCATTGTCTTTGCCACTCGGTCACGCTTGACCTCCATCTTTAGGATGTAGCTAATTTCACCAAGATCTTTCATCTTGAACCGGTTCGCCAGTTCACGCTTGACCGCTTCGAGGCGATCCAAGCTTGGTGACACAATGGTGAGATCGTCGACGTACACAACGATGAGGACCCAATCTCGGTTTGAAGTCGTGAGGATATCGCTAATTCCTCCCACTTTTTGTACATAGATGCAGTACTCCTTGTAGCATCGTACAAAACCCATCTTTAAAAGAAAGGAATGCAGTACTTCATACCAGATGCGAGGTGCCTGGCGTAGACCATACAGGCTCTTCTTGAGACGCAGAACGTGATCCTTATCTCCACGATAGTACCCAGGGGGTTTTCTCATGTAGACTACATCATTCAGTGACCCATTAAGAAACGCAGTGACTACGTCCATTTGATGACACTCGAGGTCGAGGATGGTAACCAAGGCGAGGACGAGACGCAACGACTCGTATCTAGCCACCGGAGCGTAGATATCGTCGCAGTCCTCACCGAGCCGCTGGTGGTTGCCGAGAGCAACCAGTCGAGCTTTGTAGCGCTCGATTTCTCCATTGGCTTGATACTTTACAGATAATACCCACTGACATGGTAAAATTTGTACGCCCGCAGGCGTAGGGACCACTTCCCAAGTATCGTTATCAATCAACGCGTCATATTCAGCATTAAAAGCTTCCAACCATTTCTCTCTAGCCGCGCTGGCCATCGCTTCGTTAAACGATCGTGGAATTCTAATAGATGACGGTTGCACTGGCACTACCGTGCTCGAAGGCTTCACTGTGACAACGTATGCATACTCCGTGAGATACGCAGGAGGTCGACGCTGCCGACTCGATCGTCGGGGCAGGTCGCAATCGTTGTTGCCGGACAAGCCCACCTTGTCGCTAAGCCGCGAATTACCAGCACTACTGGTCGAAGGGCGACCATAGGTTCGCGCCGAGCGAGGTCGTTTGCCCCTTCCACGCTGCGATGACGCCTCGTCATCGGAGCTCCCACTGGAGTCGCAGCTGTCCAAGCTCCCACTGTTTGGGGCATAGCTGTCGAGACTCCCACCCGAGACATTGTTCTCGGGACTCCCGCTGGAGTCATCACTCTCAAGACTCCCACTCGAGTCGTACTTTGTAGATCTACTTGCACTAGGACTGCCCGTGCTCCCGTCGGAGTCGGGACTATCTGATCGCTCATCAGAGTCACTGGAGCTCCCACTGCTCGGTAACATGTCGTTATCCGAGGAGCTCCCACTATCCACCGAGTCGGACTCAGCCGAACTTGCCGGTGTGCTAGAGGCGCGCTTGCGCTTAGCCTTTCTTTGGTCTCGGGAGGACCGAGGAGATCGGTGTCGCTTCGACGACCGATGGTTACTAGGTGGCTTAGACGGCATACGAGCAAGACGATCGATCTCATCGAGTTCGTCTTCATCCAACGATTCCACATCGGGATGGAATGCCTGGCGCACCATAGTCGCAATCGAAGTTGGGTCAAACAAGACGTCGCGAGCGACGAAGAACTTGTTGTTGGCAGGGTCATACAGGCGGTACCCCTTGTACTCGTCCGAAATGCCCAGCAGTTTGCACTTTACTGCTCGGGCAGACAGCTTTTTGTCGCTACGGCGTTCCGGTGGAACGTATGCGTAGCAGGTAGAACCCCACGCATATACTTTGTTGAGGTCTGGCTTCTCGCCGTACATGACCTCGTAAGGGGTCTTTCCCTTAAGTCGAGACATGGGAGTGCGATTCTGTATATAGTTCATATACATGAGTGCCTCTGGCCACCACTGGGCAGGCATGTGCGCGTCCTTTAGCGCACATCGCACCTTCTCGAACTTGGTTCGATGGTCTCGTTCAGCCCCCCCGTTCTCCTGCGGAGTATACGGGATGGACTTCTGGAAACGGATGCCTTTCTCCTTGCAGAAGTCCTCGAGCTCGTGGTTGACGAACTCAGTTCCACCGTCGCTACGTAGAACCTTGAGCTGGTAGGATCCATCGCGATTTAAAGTGGCGACCAGCTCCTTGATGGTCTTGACCACTTGGCTCTTCTTTGTTAAGACAGAGCACCAACGCCATGACGAATAGTCATCGATCATGTTGACATAGTACTTAATACCAGTCTTGCTACCGTAGAAGCCTTTGACTTTCATTGGGCCATTGGTATCGGTGTGCATCGTGCCTTGTTTGCGCGAACCCGTACGGTTGCGAAACGACATGCGGGTCATTTTCATTTCCTGACACACTTTGCAGAAAAATGGAAGCTGCTTCAGCGTTTGGAGTTTGATGACCGGCACTCCCGGAATGAGCCCCGAGCTCAGTTGACGTTCTACGTACTTCCGGTTGAGGTGTCCGAGGCGGACATGCCACTCCTGCAATAGAGCTGTAGCCTGGTCGCGCGTCACACTCCGAGTGGACCGGACGACCTGAGTTTTCGCCGCATTGCAATGATGCACGCGTTCTGCCACGTCGTGATGACGAGCGTAGTAGACGCCATTGACCGAATTGGCCACAAACTGCAGGTGATTGTCTTTCATCACTAGCTTACACTTGCCCGATGGGCCATTGATGACTTGGTAACCAGCCGCCTTAAGAGCCGCTTCGCTCAGAATGTTGGTGGCTGCGTCAGGGACTAAACACACCTCGTCGAGATTGAATCGTTTGATTTCATTATTCTTCGACTGAAAGAATGTGGCCACTCTGCCAATGTGTGTGTTGATGAGGCAAGATCCATCTCCAAACGTAAACTCAAACTCGTCGTTAAGTTCCGTTTCACTAAAGTACTCCTGGTGAGGTGTAATGTGCTTCCCGCACCCGGAATCGAGGACCCAATCATTCCTATCGACAGCACTGGGTCGACGGAAGAGATATGGGGCGATCTTTCTCACCTTGCTTTCGATCGTCACGGTCGCTCGAGCTACTTGCTCGGTGAGTGACTCCATGACGCTCCAGTCATCGGGGTGGTTGTCACGTACGGAGGAATCACTATCACTTGCGGACGTCGCTACGTCATAGTTGATACCTGCCGACTTCGCGGTGGACTCGTTGGCTCCGCACTGGCTATCCGTGCGAGCCTTCTTCCTGGACTTGTCCTTGGACCGACTCTTTGTCTCATCCTTAGGCTTGCCCTTGGATGTATCCTTAGGCTTAACACTACTCACTCGCCGAGGATGAGAGGTATCGTCACGATCCGACGATAGATCATCGGAAATGATACCTTCAGAGTCTCCAGAGTGGCCCTCCCACTCTCTGCTAGAACCCTTTGATGAGTACACAGGCTTATCGCCAGAGACGTCAGAGGCGCGTGTACTCTTGCCCTTGTCCGACCCGTCACCACGACGGTCGACGTGGCGCTTGCCATTATCCGACTCGTCACCATGACGGTCGACAGAACGCTTGCCCTTATCCGACCCGTCACCACGACGGTCGGCATGGCGTTTGCCTTTCTCTTTCGAGACAATCGTGTATGCGCCCAACTCGACCTTGGCGTTGGTAGACGGCTGGTCGATCCGTTTGGCATCGACCATGACGCACCGAGCGTTTCTACCGTCATTGCCGTCGTCGCACGTGTCCTTGGGTGCACCGAAAAGGTACTGAGCCCATGAGACACCAGTTGGACGCATGTCAAGGCCCCCTCTGGCCTTCTCGATCGTGCCACCGCTTTCGCAGGGTTGGACCGTGTCGTTGTCGCTACCACTCGAGTCGACATTGGCCGTCACTGATGCCTCGTCGCTGCTGGGTGGATGCGATAACACGTCCTCCCACGTCAGTGCACATGACCGCTGCGCATGCGTGATCCGCTTGGATACCTCAGCGCGCATCTCGTTGGGATGTACGAGCGTCGACGCCCGGAGCGCTGAGGTGTCCACGCTGTCCGTAAGGACGGGATCTGCAAGTGCGACTTCTTCCTTGATCTTCTCGACATGGTCACGGCCGGAAGCCTCCTCGCCGCGGAGGACAAGAGCGCACAGATTCTCGTACGGAGCCTTCTCGTCTTCCGCCCGTTCCATGTCGACGTCCGCGTTCTCCTCGTAGAGGAGCGCCTCGAGAGCCATCTTGAACTGCGGCAGATCGCTCATCTTGCCGCCACGGTAGAGTCCCAAGGCGTCTTCGAACTTGCTGAGCGACATCTTGACAATCGCTTGGGTACTTGAAATGTTGAGACTTCAAATGTGCAACGTGCAAAACGTGTAGAAGGTAGAAGGGCTCCGTGTGTGGGTGAACCCGTCAATTGTAAAGTGAGAGGTTGGT